CTCTCAGATAAAGCTGATTGCCTTAACACAATTAAAAACCAAATTTATTCTGACTGCATTTATTAAAATCTGTGCTTACATACGGCTCTGGTTTGACTGAGTAACTTTTAACCTCCTTTAGATATCTTTTACTGTGTCATGTAGTGAAAAATACAATGAATGTTTGGCAAACTAAACTGGATCTCTGTGGTATAAATTAAGGGATATACAAATTTAAAAAGAATTGCTTGTAAAAATTAAAAAAATCAAGGACAAGATAACCAGAATAAATAGTAAAATATATCCATTTTTAGTAATTCACGTAGGACATCCCATTTCCTGCAATCACTTAGCGAAAAAAAGCTTGCCATACTCTTAATTAAAAAATTATAGCTAGAAACTTAAATCCCAATAGAAATAAACAAACCAGCAACAGCAAAAACAACCCCCCAAATATAACAATTATGTCTCAGATGAGTTAAGCTCAGGAGTACCATGGGGCCTGTTTATGTCAGTTCATTTTGGCTGTGGTTTTTTTGGTCTGGGCTTTTTCCCCCATTTTTTTATTTTATGATGTTGCTGCTCTTTCAGGGTTCTTTTTTATCTGAGATTTTTGCTGTGTCTGCACGGCACTGGCAGTTTTCTGTACGTGACAATGGTGGTCTTGTCTTTAGGGAATTTCCCTTCATTTAGGAAGCTTTATTAGGACAGAGCATCACTTGTTAGCCAAATTTAGAAAATTTGGGAGGTCCATAAAAATTGTGCGGACACAAACACTCTGTATTTCACTCTAAACACTTCTTAACACCACTTTTAAGATCCCAACACTGGAAACAACTCATTTGGACGCCAAACCTCAATGTTAAGCACGATTTGTTAACTTTTTCACAACACATTTTGTTTCTGCCTGCTCAAGTATTGCTTAGACTTCCTGATTTCAAAATCTGCCCAGGAACTCAAATGGCCTTTCTGCAAAAGTTGCCCCAAAAGCACAGGGGTAACCACACTGCTGTTTTATTTTCCTTTTGGAGAGAGTGGCTGTGCTTTTCCTGCACTTTTATTACCGTATTTTTACCATATTTCGCCTTTGTCGAGGGCTCGATGCGCAGGGCTGGAGGGAGCACAGCCTGTTGTTCTGTCAGCGTAGGCGCACTTGTTTCAGGGCTTCAAAAGACTTCTCTGCCTTTTTTATTTTTTTTTTTTTTTTGCCCGTTTATATTTTTCTTTTGGGTGTTTCAGTGAGTTTCCACCGCATTTTTACCACATTTTGGCTTTGTTTAGTGCTGGAGGGAGCACAGCCTGTTGTTCGGTCAGTGTAGCAGCATCCGCTGCCTCGCCACCTCTGCTTTTAAGCCCTTTTAAATTTTCTTTTTGAGGGAGAAGGGGGTGTTGTTTTCTACATTTTTACCACATTTTGTCATTGTTGAGTACCGGAGGTGCGGGGCCGGGAGGAACGCAGGCTGTTGTTCGGACAGCGTAGGAGTACCCGCGGTCTCGCCGCCCCGGGCGCCGCGAGCGCTCCGTAAACAAAACCCTCCGTTTTGTTGACGCGGGCGGCTGCGCCTGGGTGGCGCGGGCGGTCCGAGCCTGCCCCCACGACCACGACAGGGCTCTCCCTCCCCCGCCGCCATCACCCTCCGTGAGGGGCGGTGAGGGAGGGGAAGGCGGGGGGGAAGGACGAGCCCCCCCGCTTTTCCCCTCACGGCGGGGCGGGGCCGCGCCATCGCCCGCGCAGCCAATGGCGCGCGGCCACCCCGCGATTCAAACGGCGCGTCCCGGCCAATGGGCGCGCTTGGCGGGCGGGGGGCAGGGGGCGGGGCCGTGCGCGCGGCCGTAACCGTCGGCTCGGCGGGGCGGCTGTTCCCCTCGGCGGAGAGCGGCGCGCGCTCCTTCCTGTCGGCAGCGCCCGCCCGGCGCGGCCCCGCTTCCTGCGCGGGGCTCCCCGCGGGAAGGCTCCCGAGGGCAGGGCCGCGGCTGCCGGCCCCGGGCATGGCGGGCTGGTGTTTCTGCCTCCAGGCGCGTTGGTGCTTGGTTTTAGTGGAGTTGGCTTGGACAGGGACAGGCGCCTCCGCTCTTCTGGGTGTGGAGGGCTGGAAATGTGGAGAGCGATGGTGCTGCTGGGAATGTCCTGCATGGGGTTAAGTTGGTTTGAACAGGGACAGGCGCCTCCGCTGTTGTGGGTGTGGAGGGCTGGAAATGTGGAGAGCGATGGTGCTGCTGGGAATGTCCTGCACAGCTCTCTTTAGTGAATTCAGTAGTAACTTTCCGTAGCCTTGACTGTCAGCGTTTTCTTTGTTTTTCTGCATTTCTTCTTGCATTCATCTGGCTCCCTCCTCTGACATCCAGAACGTTACCTAGATATCAGAATTAGTAAATGGAATCATTGGGTATGTGTGAGGTTTTCCGTCCCAAGAGGGAAAACTTGTTTAGTGTTTATTTCTTCTTAAAACTGTGTAAACTTGTTTAATCACTGAATGCGTGTGAGCTTTTCTGTCCCAAGAGGGAAAACTTCTTTAGTGTTTATTTCTTCTTAAAACCGTGTGCCCAGTTCTGCTGATGGTGTGTGATCTCCCTGACAGCCAGCACTTTCTCCATGCTGGAATATCTTCCCACATATCTAGTGAGGGAGTCATTAAGAAGGCCAGAAGTGCATGCGTGGGGCAATATGTTTCTCAGCCAAGTTTCTTTTTAATTATTTCATTCTTGTTTGAGTCAGCAGAAACTTTTGTTCTTTACCCACTTTCAAGCTCCAGGGAAATTTGCATTAATTGGCTTGGCTTGGTATAGGATACAAAGTCCTTTTGAGCCTTTCTCTTAGACTTTGGATTGCTAAAGGAGAATCTCACTGGTTGAGAAAACACAAATTTCATGTCCTGAGTAAGTGGCTAAACTTGCAGTCAGGTGTCTGTGCAGTGCAGGGTCCATTGTATGAGATAATTTTCTTTGGATTTATGTTTTGAAGCCCTGGGAATTCAAAAGTTTGTGCAGAACTACTGGGAATATTAGGCTGATGCCAGCTGATACCATGAAAATTATCAGGGGTGTGTAGAGCTTGAAAGAGCAGTAAATTAAAAACGTAATCTCTAAACTGAATTTTTTGGAAAAGACTTCCTGTCTTTTGTTGATGCCAGTAATTGTGTTTGTTCATCTGAACAGATGAAGGCTGCCTTTAGAAGGTGCAGCTTTTTGAAGTGGGATGTAAGGAATGAGGAATAGGGTAAGAAGTTACATTTACTTATTTTAATGCTTAATGTTTGAGCTTACTATTAAGCTGTAATATTTAAGGAAAAGAATTGAAAAATACATACATTTTCCCATTAATAAGATTGTTCATTACTTTTGAGTCAGAAGATATTTCCACTTGCTTATTTATTATTTTGGAATCCCATATTGGCAGTATCTACCTCAGACTGAATTACACGACAGGGATTTAGCTACAGGTGTTTCAACCACATTCTTCAGGTTTTTAAAACTAACTTCAGCTCCTTTTGTGAGCAAGCTTGGAGGAAGGGAAGGTCCTTCTGCCTTTCACAATAATTAAATCATCAAGTTACTTTTTCTTTGGACTTCATGTTTGCATACAGAAGTGCTGGGTTTTGGCAGAGAATTGCATTTTATTATCCTTACAAATTAAAGTTCAAAAATTGTATCTAAATTCTGAAGTGGTTGCTATAAATTGGAAAAACCAGTGTACATGTCGTCAGTAACAACTTGCTGAAGAAGTGTTACCCTTTTGAAAAGGATTTACCCTCCCAAGGTGCTGTTTTTACAGCTCAGTGTGAGGATCAGCCAGCTTTGTGCTGCCCAGGCTCCAGGTTTGCAGCAATGCCTGCGGTGCTGCAGGGCAGGAGGAGAAACAGCTGGCTGAGGTGCAGGAAATGCAGCAATGGGGGGAAATGAACTCATGGTGACATCTGGGACAGCTCCGAGTGCTCCCTGTTCAGGCTGTTTATGGAAGGGCAGGAAGAAGCTGTGGCTGCAGGAGCCTGGGAAGGAGCAGCAGGAGACCTGGATCTCCTGAAGAACTGCCTGTGGGTGAGAAGAATGGACAAGGAGACAGACATGGGGATTGAGAGCAGATTTAGGCACAGGGGGGAAAGAGGAACCAGAGCTGGCTTGGTGAGCAAGGGCAGAAAATCCACAAGGACTCCAGGATGGGCTAAGGAGAGAATGGAGAATTTGAAATGGAAATATGGAAGTCATAAGAAACAGGGATGTGAATTTGAAGGGGTTAAGCTGACTGGGATAAAAGAAAATTGAAGGAGTGAGAATTCAGAAAGAATAAGACAGAAGCAGAAACTGGAGCAACAAACACTAGTTAAAAGGCAGAAGAGCTGGAATAGCACATGCCTGACAAGCACGGACTAGAACTCATCATTTTTCTGACTGGCAAGTGTCAGTGAAACCAAATTATAAAACTTTTTTTTCCCCTCCTTCAGATATTGTACAGCAGAGGAGATGGCCAGATGTTTCTGGTCTGAAGCAGTTTGCAGTATTAGTAATAAAATCCATATGAGGGAATGCTGCTGATTTTTTTTTTTTTTTGTATTTGACTTGGAGAGCTACAGAGGTGTAAAGTGTAACAGCAGCAGCAATGTCAGAAAATGCCAGAATGAATGTTGACTGTAAAACCTCACCGAGCCCCATCCCCCAGTGAGTGATGACAGTCTGATTGAATATTAACAGTATCTTTTTCCCCAATAATCTTAACTTTTCACTGCAGGTTAGTTAATATGTAATGATTAACTAGTTAAAGACTTGTATTTACCTTAGTTTGTGTGGTTTCACTTGCTTATCAAATTGATAAAGCAAACAAGTTGAAATGAAATGCTTTGACACCAACGATTTGTAGTTTGTGTCTTCTCCGTGTCCCTGCCATCCCCTCTGAGTTCATGTGCTGGTTGTACACGTGGTGCCAGTACAAATGTTAGTGTATCTTTTACCTTACCTTAGACTTCCAAGGTAGTCTCACTTGATACATTGGGATTAAAAGTATATTCTGCTTGGGATATCTGTTTTCAGAAGGCAATGACATAAGGCAAAGCACTACACAAACAGTGCTGCAGGACTTTACACTTACAAACAACTTCCTCTAAGTTGTAGTTGTGGTTTTCCCCAGCACCTGGTGGGGTGAACCAAGGGTGGTAGTCACACCACAATGTGTTAATAGCAAATAAAAACCTGATGATGCAGATGGGGGATAGAATTTCGTTTTTCAGGTTGCTGTGTGATTGCTCTGATGCTGTGCTTTGTTTTCCCATGGAGCCCTGGAAAAGGCATTATGGCCTTTTGTTAAAGAGGTGGAAAAAACAAATATTCAGACAGGAGCTTAAATTCTGATGCTTCCTAACTTTTGAGTGTTTGGCATAATAAATTGAAGAAAGACTGTAATGTGGCTATAAGTGTTGGAGAGATTGGAGATGTTTAATGTTTAGAAATCATCACTTCTGTAATTTCTGTAGAACCACAGGAAACAAGGGTTAGAGGACACTTCAATACCATGTAATTTGCATTTCTCCCTAGATAAGATGAGCTTCATGATGTAATTTTGGTCAAAGATGTGCTTTGCCTGATGATGGAGATATCATAGCTCAGTACTAGTCTAATACATCTGAATATTTTTCCAGAATGTGCACCTCCAATCTTCACTCTATTTTAAGACTATTTCTTCTGTCTGCTGTTGATTTGGAAAAGAGATCACTGCTGCTTTCTTGTCACACAGCCTTTCCCCTTTTTAAAGTGGAGACTCATTGAAAGTGTCCCCTTTTCATTACATGACACAGAAGGAGAGGAGGGGGAGATGAAGCCTGGTGTTCAGCTGCCATGTGGACTGAGTGATTTATTTCCTAGGCACTCAGTTTGGAAAATGCCCAGCCGGAAGTTTGCTGATGGCGAGGTGGTGATGGGCCGCTGGCCGGGGAGCGTCCTGTACTACGAGGTGCAAGTGACCAGCTACGATGATGCTGCTCATCTTTATACTGTCAAGTACAAAGATGGAACTGAACTTGCACTGAAGGAAAGTGATATAAGGGTGAGTACACATGGGTTTGATTGTCAGTACTTCAACTTAGGGCTTTTGCACTAAAAAACTTCTGCAAGTTTTTGTTAACTGTGTCTTCAAGGAATTGGTGCTAAATAAAAGTTTCTTCCTGTGTGACACATCAAGCAGAAGTTCAGAACGACTCCATCTTTAAAGTATCATGGTTGTTTGTCAAAAAATGTAGTATTTTTGAGGAAAACCAAGTCTGATCCTTCAGGAACTCTATAGCATGGTTTTTCATAAAGAACTGGTTTGGGTACCTTACAAAGGTAGTAATAATGGGTCGATACTAATTTGATGGTTTTCCATCTCTAAATAAGAAAATCTGGTAACAAATGGGAAGATGCGGTTAAATGTCACTGTAAATATAAACAGTGCATGCCCTTCAAGAACGTACTTAAAACATCTGCAAATAGCTTTTACTAGTTTAGGTCCTCAAAGGCTTCATGAGGTATTTTGCTGTATTTGTGACAATTACAAACCCTTGAGAAAGGTTCATGTGATGTCAGCACATTCCTGCCTCTTTACTTATTGTTATTATTTTATTTTTGTTCCTCATGAAGTCCTTTAAAACTTCATAGAAGTTTCAGTTGAAAATGAATAATGCAGGAGGAAAAAACCCTGTTGGAATGTTCACTGTAGTTCATTTCTATGGCCTGTTCTGAAACCTGCAGAGGTTCAAAGCCAGCTTGCATGTCTTTATGTGAACTGGAGTGTCACTTCTTGGTGGCAGTGTCCATGCCCAGTAACTGGCCTTCTCTTTTGGGACCAAAATGTTTCTGCCTTGAGGTAGGCAACTGTTTTCACTGTTTCAAGTCTTTCTGACTTGTTACTTCTGCATGCAGGTTAGCAGACCCAAGCTGGGAAAGTTCCTTTCTTTGTCATGAAATATTTATGCATTATAAAAGTTGCATTGTGGAAATTTTACATGGGGAAATCAGCATTGTAGACTTCACAGAGAAATTAAACAGTGCTTTTGGAGTAAAATATTTATGAAATTAGTTACCAGATATAATGAGATGATTAGGCTGATTTGGGGTTTTTTTAGTGTTGATTTGCTCTGTGTTGCCTCACACGGATGATGAACCTTGCCATGTCAAATGCATTAATTAAACTGAGTAGTGGAAGTGAGAGCAGCCACTGAGGGCTTGAGAGACAGCTCTCCATTCCCATCCCCATGCACAGGATTGTGTGTAGTGTGCTTAACAGCTTGGTGCTCACATTGGTAGCTTACACCCATAGCCTCATTTCTGTAGCTTCAGCAGGAATTGCCAGCAGCAGTTGGACTTGGAACAGGCTTCTTTGGGAATTGCCAGCAAAATGAGTATTCTGCAGTTGCTCTTTCTTAGCAGCCTTTGTAGAGCATCAGTAGAGGAAATACGAGACAGATCTCCAGAAATGTGTGCCAGAGTCCTCATCACAAAACCCCCCCCGTGTTTCTAAAATTGTTCTTTGGGACATAGCTAAGATTTTGCTTTCTTCCCATCTTTCTTTTAGTCGCAGTCATCATTCAAGCACAGGAAGAGCCAGTCTTCTTCAAGTTCTCCCTCCAGAAGGAGCAGCAGCAGATCTCGCTCTCGCTCCCGGTCTCCTGGCCGGCCAGCAAGGGGCAGGCGTCGCTCTGCTTCCCAGAGCAGGGAGCACAAGGAGGACAAGAAGAAAACCATTCAGGAGACCAGCTTGGCTCTGCCGGTATTAGTTTTGTTTGTTGGCTTTTGTGTGTGGGTTTGCTGGATTTTTATTTAACAAAACTTTTGCTGTTTGTGAAAGATTGGTTTTATGCAGAATGGGTTTATCATTGTAAAACCAGCTGCAGTTCATGTTCCCTAGACAGCATAATTACCTGCAAAAGCATATCTCAGAACTGCCTTTTTTTTTTCTTTGGAAATTGGTTTTCTAGCTTGCAAAGTTTGAGGAAAAAGTTCTCTTACCATATATAGTTTGTTACAACAGTAGTGGAAAACATGCAGTGTGGGATATTTAAATCTGGCCATGCTGATGGATAATATTGCAAAACTGGTTTCATTATAAAAACTAACTTGTAAGGGTTTCTAAGTTTACCAATATCTGGTGTCTAGCTGAAATTTATTAGGTTTGTTCTTAGCATTTTTGTGAAGATTGAGTGCTAAAAATGCTTCTGGTGATCTTCAAGTGAAGAGGAGTAGAGGTGGTGTTTGTGAAGAGACAAACAGCATTTCTTCTGCCTTTTGTGCCCTTGAGATGGCTTCTCACTTGTCTGAGACACAGTCCATGGACCTGGAAATGCATTCTGCTGTTCTATTGAAAATGAACAGGTTTTGGTTAGGTTTCAGCTAGATTAACCAGATTAATATAAACTTGCTAGATAGGTTTAGTAAATTGCTGCTCTTAGGCACTGAAACAGTTGTGGGGTTTGTTTTGCAGTGACCTCCTTTGAGCTGTGTGATCCAGTGCCTGTGGATCACAATCTGGTTTTAAGTAGATTTTTAGCCAGCAGCTACAGTTTACTTTTAGTACTTTTAACCTTTTGGGATAAAAGGGTTAAAAAGTCTTTGGTGGTTTTGTTCTGGCTTCTCTCTGAGGAGTGGGATTGATCTGTTGGCTCTTGTAAGACTGGAAAGACCAGGTAGTTGAAATAAAACATATGAGTCATGTCTTCCTAGAGCTGTGTAAGCTATACTCACGAGAAGAATTCTTATGAGAGAATGTATTTCTCCAAAGGTATTTTATGGAAAACCAAACTTTCAGTTCTGCAGAACAGTGCCATATATAGGACACTGAAAGCTTAAACTGTGTTTCTTGTTTCAAGGAGAAACCGAGTGAGAATAACACCAAAAGGTACAATGGTGAACCTGAAAGTACAGAAAAAAATGCCACATCCTGCATCATCCTGGAGGTAGGAACACTGAATTTGCTCTTAGCTTTTTGTCACATTCCTGGCTTAGCTCTCTCACAAATTCCTAGAAAAGGGCAATACAATAATCAAGCAGAAATAGAAGGGAATATAAAACTTAGAGGTTAAGTAAGTTTGCTACAGAAAATGTGATTTTTTTTTTTTTAATTGTCCTGATTGTTATCTAGTGCCCAGGCACATGGCAGAAGGGAAAGGGGGAGGGTGGCCATGGATGATGTGTGCTGGAACTGCTGCTGATCTGTAACCACAGCCCAGTAGGTTACAGTGCCTGGCTTTAGCAGTCTCTTTATGTGAATGGATAATTGTATATTGGTGTTTTACAGTGAGTCATGTCCTCTGAAATATAAAATATTGGACTAAAATAAAGTAAAATCACTGGGAAACCTTCTAGTAAATTATTTTTGTTCATTTACAGCAAAAGTTAAAACCAGACCTGGAGATCAAGCGTGTGCTTGAGCAGTACAGCTTGCGTTCGAGGAAAGATGACAAGAAAAAAGAAGAGATCTATTCAGAGAAAAAGACTTTTGTGGCTGTAAAACCAATTGAGAAAGTATCAACAAAAACAAAGGAGCTGGAGTTTGGGGGAAGAATTGGTATGTGTGCAAATTGTCTTAATAGTTAAAAATTAGTACTGTTTTGTGGGTTTTTGCTAATTGACCATACTGTCATGTCAAAAACTGCTTTTTGGACCTTGGCTGCAGAATTCAGGGTCAAATTGCTGTTTCACTTGATTGAGTGGCAAAGAACCTTTAATGCACTTGGTTCGTATGTGAAATACAGCAAAGATCATGTGCCACCCATTGCCACAGTGAGATTTAAATATTTCTGGATTAAATTTAAGAATAACCAGCAAAGCTTTTACATTTTCAAAACTTAGGTGCTTGAAACTTGACAGTAAAGTATTTTTTAGACAGTTTTTGGGTTATTTTTGGAGGGATGCAATGAGTGTGATCCCATGGTAGATGACCTTATATGGGAGTGAGAAGAATGTCTCAGTGTCCTGTTACATGACTGTGGGATTGCTGCTCTCTGGTTCAGGAGAAAATAATGACAACCTATTCTTTGTTACTTAATATTGAACTTTTTTAGTGGGATTGAAACTATTTTTTAAATTTTCTTCACTTACCTTCTAACATGCCGTGATGTCTGTTTACAGGGACCTTCATGCTGATGCTTCTCCTGCCTGCTACTGTACTCTATTTGCTGTTGATGTGCAAACAAGATGATCCAAGTCTTCTGAACTTCCCTCCTCTGCCAGCACTTGAGAGTCTTTGGGATGGGAGGGTGTTTGGTGTCTGTCTTCTGTGGTTTTTCCTTCAGGCTGCATTTTACTTGCTGCCAATTGGAAAGGTAGGCTCTTGGGAGCATTGGGTCTTTATGGGCAACTGAACTAGGCTGGAAGGTGGGGTGTGTTCTAAATGCAGTGCATTTGAAAGCATTTTAATGAGTTTTTCATAATAAACTGGAATATAGCTGCTGCAGATTTCTGTAAGCTTAAAACAGCGCAGCTGGTTCAGAATTTTTGCATTTCAGAGCCTTCCAGTAGAGAAGGCAGAAGGCATTTTACAGGCATTCACATCAAACTGTGGATAAACTTTGCTTAATAGAATTCTAGAAGAATTTTAGGTATCTGAGTTCTAACTTCACAAACTATTTCAATACTCAGTTTCTTGTGGATATCCAGCATTTTGGAAAACAGTCTTCATTTACAGGAATCTGCAAACCATTCTAGCCATATGTATGAGTATCAGGCAAAGGCTCTCCTTCCCTCTCTTGTGACTTGAGGGTTACTGGCAGATTCTGAAAGGACACTGAAGTAGATCAATCATGTTTTATTGCTGAACATGTTCACAATGACTGGAGAAGTTCTGCTTTCTTGAAGCTGGTTAGGAAGAGGTTTATTTTTTAAAATGTTTTTATTTGAAACTGCTAATATTTTTCATTTGCTGACCAGAGTATGTTTTCCAGAACAATGCATGAGGTTTGAGCATGTCCAGCTGGTTGCTTTGACTGAATGTCTTTCTGACAGAGTTGAGCTTGGTTTTCCTCCCTTGAAGGGCCCACAGAAAATACTTTGTTGAGCATTAGTATTTTATTCTCCTTAGGTTGTAGAAGGCCTGCCCCTTTCCAGTGGAAGGAGACTGCAGTACCGGATAAATGGTAAGCATGGTGCAGCTGGTTATTCCAAAACTGACTCCATTGTGTGATTTGCAGTGCTCAGCACCATAAAATACAAATGTTGAAAGGTACAGTTTGACCAGAGAGTGTATCTGTTGTAAATCTTTGGATAAAATAGGATGAGCCTTTCTTGGAAAAAGGTGGTTAGTAATCATCAGGAACTAAGTGCCCCAAGAGCAAGACATTGCACTGGACAGGGGTGTAAGTGGAATTCAAAAAATTCAGCTTAAAAAGCTGAGTTTTGTCATAGTCTGGTAAGATGCACCATTTTAAAGTTGGACTAGGGCTGTAAGTGACAAACAAGGAGAATTGCATCCTGCAAAAGTGAGTCTCCCTGAGGCTGTCTCATACCTGTCTTGGTTTTGGACTTTGGTCTGTAGTCATGCATTCTGATAAAGGGAGGAAATAAGCTACATCATTTGGATTATTTAAAAAAAACCCCATTGTCTTGGTGCTTTGAAGGCTAATTTTAAAGCAAATTTAAAAGCCTTCTTGAGGAAAGGTAAGGACAGCAGGCACTGGGCACAAAGTGAAGTGCAGGAGGTTGCATCTGAACTAGACCAGATGAACTCTGGAGGTTCCTTCTGACCTCACCCCTGTGACCCTGTGAAGGGATCCACAGAAAGTCCTCAGCTGAGGGCAGCAGAGAACTGCCTGCTCCTATTTGGGCATCAGTCCATTCTGCATGAAATTATATTCTCATTGTGTGCAAAAGGTTTTGTGTTCAAGTTTTGCCTTGATAAGTCATTTTAATACTTTAATTACTGCTATCTGTATCAAGGTATGCAGATAATTCAAAGATTGAGAATATGGTTGTCCCAGCTGTCCCACAGATAAGACTGTGACCTGCAGTGTCAATGTCCATTTTTCCACTAAAATCTGAAATTGGATCCTGTGGCATAAAAAATTGAGAAGTATTCAGAGTGTTCCTGCCTCTTGTCCTTTTGGTGAGCAGTTTCAGGGCTTGGAGTCTCTTAGTTATATTGCTGTGCCCCAGAAGTTTGAACCATAGGATGTCCCAAGGTGTTACTGGAAATTGGACAAATATTGGAAGAAGTAAAAGTGCAGAAAGTTTGGATTAGGTAGGTCCTACTAAAACGATAATTTTTTTTTTTTTTGACTAATATGTCTTTTTTCTACGTCCTTTAGGGTTTTATGCTTTTATTTTGACTGCTGCAGCTGTTGGAGTTTTATTATACTTCCAGTTTGAGCTTCATTACGTGTATGATCACATCCTGCAGTTTGCAGTGTCGGCTGCAGCTTTTGCTTTGGCACTGAGCATTTACCTGTACGCTCGATCCCTGAAAGCGCCCGAGGAGGAGCTAGCACCAGGTGGAAATTCTGGTGAGTTAGGACATTCTGGATAACTTCTTTCCAATTGTTTGCCATAGTTTCATTTCTGCAAATTAAAGGCTAGGTTTGGGGCTGGTTATTATAATACTGTGACTTCAGTTTTGCTTTGTGAAGTGTTGTTTGGGTTTTTTTTCCACAAACTCAGTCCCAGACATGAAGTCAGGGCATGGTATTTTCCTTCTTGTCCACCTTTTTTGATGAATGGGTAATTGTCACAGCGAAAGGGAATTCTTTTTCCCAGACAAAAGCAATTAAATAGGAGAAAATGTAAAGTAAATTAATGCCATATGATCATGTTCGTAGACACTGTGATGGGAGCTTCAGGATAAGGCTGAAAATAAAGAAGGAACAAATGTCAGGGAGAACTTCTAAAGTGGTTAGTCCTCCTAATTAATAAAAAATCAGAGCATCTTAAAATACAAATTGTGTAGATTTTTTTTTGTGTTTTGCACATACTCTTCAAAATTTTTTTTGCCAATCTGAAGGCTTTAAAAAATTTGTAATGAGAGAACATTGGTGGAAAGTGGGATTTTATTTATGGGGAGGAGTTTAGTGGCTGATAACAGCAAGAGTGTTGCTAACAGAGGCTGTGTCTCATCTGCAGGGTATTTTATTTATGACTTCTTCACTGGACATGAATTAAACCCTCGTATTGGCAGCTTTGACCTCAAATACTTCTGTGAGTTGCGTCCAGGATTAATTGGCTGGGTGAGTCAGTAATCTGAGTTATTTTAGCTACTTAAATATTACATTGAGGGAATTTTTTACACACATATATAATTGATATTAAGGAGAGATACAGATATTTGTAAATACTTATAAATGAGTACTGAAAAACAGTTCCACATTGCTAGTTTTTAAATGACTATTTTTATTCACTTGAAGAAAATTTCTAGCTTCTTTGTTTTGTGGCAAATGAAAACCCTTTTTAAGATATTCATATGTTGAGGTTATACAGCTTCAAAAGCGTGGTTAGTTGCAAACTAACTTGTAAAATAGTTTATTGGTTTTTCTGCTCTAAACATTGGTCAAAAATAGTTGTGTTAAAATGTCCTGCAGTGTAATAGAAAAGACTGTTTTTTTTACAAGTGAACTTTAAAATAAAATCTTTTCTAACTTAGGTTGTTATAAACTTGGCAATGCTCTTGGCTGAGATGAAGATCCACAATCTCAGCGTGCCATCCCTGTCCATGATCCTTGTGAACTGCTTCCAGCTTCTCTATGTGGTGGATGCTCTTTGGAATGAGGTAAATGCCAATCCCCTTACCTGCTGCCATTTCTAATTACAATGTTAAGAGAAGGAGGCTGTGGAAATGCTAAAATTCCTTCTTCCTTGTGTCCAGGAAGCCGTTTTGACTACAATGGATATTACCCATGATGGATTTGGATTCATGCTGGCGTTTGGAGATCTGGTGTGGGTTCCATTTGTCTACAGCCTGCAGGCCTTCTACTTGGTGGGTCATCCCACCACAATTACTTGGCCTGTTGCTGCTGCAATTACTGTTCTGAACTGTAAGTTACAGTAAATGCCATTGTTGCTGTTGGTTACAACATAGTTCTGATTCTGGTTCTTCAGAGATGGGAGGGGAAGCTTTAGCCCAGATGCAGCAGTCATTGTCTACTGTGAAATACAAAGAATATAATAAATTCTCATTTTAGCAAAAGAAGGATAGGTGAGACTCTGAACACTTAATTGTTCTGTTGAGAAGCAGCTCTAGGTGGGTGCTGTCTGGAGTTGAAGAAGTGACTTAACATATTTTGAATTTAATAGATTCTCTTTTAAGTCAATCTGAGCAACTCATTAAAAAAAAATAAAAATCAGTACCTTGTTGGCTCCGCTCTACTGAACCTAGGGAAGAAGTAACTATTTGCATCTCCTTACTTGAGACCATAGTTACAAACACAGGTCAGTGGAAAACATCTTTTTTCATCAAAGCTGAGTGCTTTGAGAAAAGATCTCACATCTTTAGGCAACCTTAAATTTGCACCAACGTATGCTTGTTGTCTCTGTAATCTAAAACCCATAAAAACCTACTAATATTTTCTAGACATGACAAAGAACAGGGAAAAATGACAAGATGTACAACTTAATATGTGGAACACTGAAAAACAGAAAATCACTTTTTCATCTTCACCTAACATTTTCTCATGGGTTTCTATTTAAAAAAAAATCTTTATTCAAAGTGTGTAGTGATAATCTTTTTTCAATGTAGCTTTGGAAAAAGCAAGTTTAAGCTGCTGTGTGAAAATTCTGGGGGATATGAATTTCAAACCCAGATAATTCATGGCCTGGTTCTTTTGTTATCATGATCTTGTAAGTGAGTTGTCAGTTTATGGAGTAGGTGCTGTAACAAAGTGCTAGGCTGCAAAACAGAGCTGTAATCATAGAATGTGAAATTCACATCACCTTCTGTGAGTTTCAAGCTCAGTGTAACATTAAAAAAAACTCAGATATAGATGTGAAAATAAAGGTTCTTCAGAATCTCTTCAAAGCTGGTCAGTAACAAGAAGGATCTTATGGAATGCAGGTTTCCAGTGGCATTTCTATCTTGTTAGAGCTCTGAGAACCAGAAAATACCAGTTGAATCTCTGGGGAAATGACTTTGATGGAATAAATGTGGCAAAGGGCATGTGAGTGCTTTTGTTGAAGCTGAAAAAACTGGAAAATACTGAAAATGCAAAATCCATCATGTTTATTTTCAGGTATTGGGTATTACATCTTCCGCAGTGCAAATTCTCAGAAAAACAATTTCCGACGGAATCCAGCAGATCCCAAACTGGCCAGTGAGTACATTTTTTATTCCATTGGCTCTGATTTCATTCAATGGCTCTTTGTAGTATATAAATACATATTTCAGTCACTGCACTGACCACAACACTCTCTTCACAGATCTGAAATTTATACCCACTGCAACTGGAAAAGGGCTTCTTGTCACAGGTTGGTGGGGCTTTGTTCGTCACCCTAATTACCTCGGTGACATCATCATGGCTCTGGCATGGTCCCTACCCTGTGGTGAGTTTCTGAGACTGAAGTGGATTTTAGCAAAAATGCTTTTGTTTTGCATCTGTCTGGGCTTGAAATGCCAAGTGGTAATTGTTTGAGATAGTAAACCCTATTGAATGGCAGATTTCTGTGTCATAAGTTTAATGCAAGACATTTTTACTTCCATTTTACCCTAACTTGCTGCAGATTTGACATATACTACACATTTTACTCATCTTTTTGACACTTTTATCACTTGATAACCATGGGACTTACTTGCTAATTGGCTGTTCTTTAAATTTTTTAGGCTAGTGAGTGTGTTTTCAGCTGAAGTTCCCCAAAAGTGGGAGTTTGCTTGAAGACAAGGGCCACCACATACAGCGATAACTTGAAGTGAAAGCTATTTAAAAGAGAGGTCATCAAACACAGTGAAAATTATCTTTCAAAGTGTTTGTTAATAATACACAGAGGTGGGCACTACACTCAGGTGGGGCCTCAGGAGAGCAGAGTAGTGGGTTAGAATCAGAACGTGCTGCCACGCTCCTCCTGATGCAGCCCAGAGCACAAAGTTGGCTTTTTTGGCTGCACTCTCACATTTCTGGGTCCTTTCCAGTTCTTTTAATCCACAGGTCAAGTGGTGTGCTCTGAGCAAAGCTGGACTCATGTCTGCAGGCAAAACAGAGAAAACCTTGTGCGGGGCAGTTTGGTGGTGCAGATTTGACTGGAAATCTGGTTTTGATAACTAAAGAACTTTAAATGACAATAACACTTGAACGTGTGCCAGCTTTTCAGGCATTGAGAGTGAAATTGGTTGATTTTGTGACTCCAAATTTTCAGAATTACTTTCTGTGGGTTTGTGGGGCTTTTTCTATCTGCATGTGTTGACTATTCGATGCCTTAGTATAAAATGCTTCAGCTTTGATCAAGTGTGTGTCACCATCTTTGAACATGTTAATAGCTACCACCTCTAGATCTTTGTCCTGTATCTAAGCTCGCTTTGTCCCTTTGCAGGTTTTAATCACATTTTACCCTATTTCTACGTGATCTATTTCATCTGCCTGCTGGTCCATCGGGAGGCTCGTGACGAGCACCACTGCAAGCAGAAGTACGGCTTGGCCTGGGAGCGGTACTGCCAGCGCGTCCCCTACCGCATCTTCCCCTACATCTACTAGAGCACTCCGGGGCCCCAGGGCACCTCACTGCTACACTTAGATCCCTTGCAGAGAAAGATACCTCTTACCTTTGCACTTGGTCATTTGGTATTTAGGCTTTGAAAGAAAACAAAACAAACAAAACCCGGCCAAACGTTGGAGTGCGTCAAAGGTGTTGCTTACAAGTAGACTTCAGGATGTGAGTTATGTGAACTGACTGTCTGTGACTTCAATTTTTAAAAAAAATTGTGAATTTTCAAAACTCTTCGAGCCCTAATTTTTCAAGCTAAATTTTATCTAGAATTCTGAGTTTACATTTTTTTATTGCATTTAATTAAGCACTGTGATGTAAAGTATATTATTTTCTTAATACAATAAATGCTGAAATTCCATCCAGTTCATTTTTTGGTGTTACTCGTACCATCTAACTTCAGATGTCCAATTTAGTTGCCTGAATTGGAGGAGCAGCAGGCTCTTTTTGGTCAGTGGAGCTGGAAGCAGAGGATGTGACCCATGTGAGGGCCCTGCAGCCCCACAACCAGAGCTGGCACAGCTTGGCTACATGGTTGTTCCTCCCCTGGCTTTTCATTGATGGCATTTTTTTGGTCAGAGAGGCTCAGCTGGCCCCTCCTGCCCTGCACCTGCAGGAGGATAAAGAGATGGAATTGGGACGAGGGGCACAGCTGTTCCTTTCTCCCACCCCAGGTTGTTGAGGCAGTTCCAGGAATGCCCAGGGGCAGCTCTGAGCCTGGCAGAGCCCCTGGCCCTGGAGGTGGGAGCCACACTTGTGGCTCACACTCCTGGAGGGGGATGAAACACTTCGTGCCTGTGGAAGGGAGTAGTGAACCCTCAGACTGCCTCAGGCATTGAACATGGGGTAAAACGTGTGCAGTGTCTGCCTGTGAGGCACAAAAGGATAGAATGACCACAGCTGGCTCCTTCTGATCTTTGTAAATTAAGTCTTAATGTACCATAGTGTTTACCAAGTGTGTATAATAAAAGCCTCCACGTTTTTGCTGTACAGTGTTTGGGTTTGAAAAATGCAACAGCTTTTTTAGAAACAGGAGAAATCAGTAACTAAACCAATTTCCAGTAATTTTTAAAAAGTTAATTGAATAAAGGATTTTGTAAATTAATGTAGTTAATTCTTGAAACAATTGAAGTGTTCATTTAAATATTTGTATTGACAGATATGCTATGAAAATATAGGAAATGCTCCTCAATCCAAAGTTGTTTTTTTGGTTTCTTTTTGTTTTTAATTTGGCATTGCTACCTCATATGTAGGTGTTGCCTTTTGTACTGTTGCAGATAGAGAAATAGCTATTTTTTTGCTATTGCTATTTAAAACAACATTTTTTTACATGAGCCTGTGGTTAAACTCAACCACTTTCTAATATATTTTTGTATATATTTGACTTTTTAACTAATGTATGTGTTCTGGTCACTAGCTGTGCTCTTTGTCTAACTGGCTGTAAATGATATGCCCTTGTGGTATTTACTTCATAAGTAGAATAATTTTACTGAAATACTCTTGCTTAATTAATTAGCTTTTATTCTGTTGGCACAAGTAAGAGCTTTTCACACGCTTTGTACATGAGGTTTATAGCACAAATTGCCCTAAAAAGCTTACTAGAATATGAAATAAAGTGCAGATACTTCTGCACTTGCTTGCAGGAGTGTTCCTAATAAATTGGAATGTTATTTATCAATTGTTTCAGCTATTTTAAAATGTTGATGTAATTGAAATCTAGCATGTGATTTTTTAAAAAAAATAAAATAACCTATTTTGTACACGGGCATTTTTTAAAGATAATTGTACAATTGAAGTGTATATAATGTAGCTTGATTGTTGGTGTTGTAAGGAAATTGTTTTAAGACAAGTACTTTGATTGCTGGCAGAAAATAGCAGTGCCTCTAACAAGACTCAAGAGAATTCACTCCTGTGAAGCAGCAGATTAAACTGGGATATTGCTGTTTTCAGTCCTTGCTGAGGGAATTTATGGGGAATGGAGAAATCATTAAATGGCCCTGGTGTGCAGCTGGTGTTTAAAGTCTGCTGAAGGAGGGGGCACTTTGATTCCTCAGGCTGTAAAGCAGGAGCTGCTCCTGCTGCTCTTCCCAGTTTTATCTGCTGCCACCCAAGGTTGTTCTAATGTCATTCAGAGCCCTTGTCTTTCAGAATCTGATCCTGACCAATGACAACTTCATTTACATACTGAATTTTATGTGAATTTGATTTTGAAGTAACTGTTTTTAATACAAACGAGCCCATGAGCTAAAATAAAGGTTTTGCTTAAAACTAAGTAGTGCATTTTTTTTTCCCAATTCATGGGGAAACCTGATAAAAATTACATTGCTTTTCCTTATTTAGTGCAGGTGTGAGTTTGCTGAAGTTCCTGTTGTACCTGTGTTCGTGGGATGAGTGTTACAAGCTCAGGTGTGGTGCTTCTCTTAGTATGCCTGGGCATTTTGTCTTCTTCCCTTCTGCTACTCCAAAAATAAACTTAATTCTGTATTTTAACAGCTGAAATTAACACTGAGTTTGCCTATAGGATATTGTATTTTCCCCCACAGCCTCTATTAGGAGTCAAAACCAAACCCAATTAGGCTGTTTCTGCGTAAAGTGTTACTGCAGAGGAAATAAATATAAGTTTGACCTACAAGGCTGTAGTGGAAATATGATACAAGAAGAGGAATGATAGTTTTGCTTACAGAAGGATGTTTGCCCATAGGTAATAAAAATGTTGCTTAAATTACATTTACCAGAGCTCATGAAATCCTTACCAGAACAGTTTTTGCCTCCTGGGGAGCAGGAGCTGTTTGGGGGAGTGGGTGGAAAACCTTTCCTGTGTGTGGATGGAGAACATATTGCACTGTCTGTACAGCGTTCTGCTGGGGAAGTTCCCTAAAATTAGAAGGAAATGCTTTGATAGAGCTTTCACTCTTTTAATATTTAAAAAATAAATCTTAACCAGCGAACTTCTTTTTAACAAGTATTTTTCAAGCATCATCTTTACCTTTTTGTGTGTACGAATGTCTGCAGTAGCAGCGTTGCTGAATGTCACCAGGAGCACTTTGTGTCCCACCGTGGGAGTGGGGAAACCTTTTGAAGGAAGAACTGGAGCTTGGCCAAACTGGACTGGTGCTTTTTGGGGTTTTTTTGATGAGAGAGAGAAGTGTGTGTGGTTGTCATACTCCCATCATGTCAGCATCCCATCCATCTTCCTCCTCAGAACACGACCTGGTGCTGCAGCCAGATGTTTCCAGTAATTTTCCTTCTGCACCTCGAGGTATTTTGTTCCCCTGGGTAGGGACAGGGAATGCCAGGGCCAGGGATTCCAGCAAATCCTTTTCCTGCCTCTGCCGGGGCTGCATCTCCGGCTGCAGACGCTGGGTGGAGCCGGGTGTTTGCTGCTGGCAGCTCGGTGATCCCAAGAGCAGAGGGGGAAGGACACATTTCCCACTGCAACCATCGCTTTCCCTGCCCTCTGCCTGAAGGGTTGGAAGGGGGCAGCAGTTCCCTGTGTCCTTGTGCTGCTCAATTCCCTCCTAACCCTTGGCTGAAGGAGGGAAAGATGCTCATGCATAAACTGGGGGGCAGTGCCCTCCTGGGGGCCCTGTGAAATGCCGTGGAAGTGACTTGTCCTGTGCACACACACAAGCTTTCCTGCCCTTCCTCTAGGACAAGCTTCCTCTTGGAACTTCTGAGCTTTATTCCCTGTCTTTATTCCCTGTTGGAGCTGGGTGTCACCAGGTTTAGTCAGCCTGACTTGGGCCCTTCTTGCTCCTGTATTTCAAACTGCAGAAACTTTAAATTAATGAACTGATCAGACAGAGGATCCACCTAAAGCTTAAAATCAGATGAATTCCTATGAAAAAGTTTCAAACTGCAGAAACATTAATGTTAATGAGCTGATCAGAGGATCCACCTAAAGCTTAAAATCAGATGAATTCCTATGAAAAATGTTGTAATAAATGGTGGATCCTGAGGGATATAAGCAGAAATTAACACCCAGAGGAGGGGAAAAATGTTGAACTCAAAACCATGTTCAAATTCAAACCATTTGCTTTTGGCAACACAGCTTCAAAAAAGCCCTCATATTGTAACTATTAATGGAAAAGCCCTTCTACTGGCAAGGCAGATGATGTAAAACACCAAAGCAGAACTATTTCATGCTCTTTTCTACGTGTAATTTTATAATCCTGTCAAGACTCTGAGAGCAAACTGATCCTGCAGACAGAAGGTGAGCACTGCAATCATACAGCAACTTCTGCATGTGTTTATATCTGCTTATCACAGCCTGCAGGGAATGGAACCTTGCCAGCCTGGGAATTCTCAATTCCCACCAAAATAAACCTTTGAGAAGTTTCCTGTGAGCAGCTGGGAGCTTATGGAAGTGTACAGTAAAAAAAAAGCTTGTTAGCCACCACTTGTGGAAGTCTTTGGTACAAATTTAGGGGCTCCTTTTTTGAGTCCCCAAAGTGGGCTGTTGCTGCAGCTGAATGATTACACAGCAAAGAATCAGAGCTCCTGACCCATGGCCTGGTGGTTTTGTTCAGCCTGGTGACAATTTATAACAAATTATCACAGCCCAACTGGTTGGTTTGACACATCCCCCCACCCCCTTACTAAATTAAACAAAATCAAAATAAAACAGGGAAAATTTTGTTGTGCAGTTCCTGCAGGGCATTCCTGAAACTTGCAATTTTCAGGGTTTGCTTGCTTCAAGTTAAGAAGGTAAAAAGAATAATTTTAATGTCTCCTAAGCTTTGGACAAAAATGCTGATCTTCTACCTCTGAACCTCAGGTAAAAACATTGTTATCATGAGGTAAACACATTGTTATAATCAAACAAAAACATTGTTATAAAGGTATGTTCCCATGCTGACCTAAAGAAATACAGGTATTTTTCTTAAACATCAAGACAAAAATTATAATTCTCATTTTTATTTTAATAACAAACCACACATTTTCAATCTCACTCCTTAACTCCCTGCTTAACCTTGTGTTTTTATGTGCTCAGGTCCTTTGATGAAGTTAGTATTGTACAGAGCACTAGAAAACAAAAATTGCTCAGCATCCTCTTAATTTTTGTCAGCAATTAAAGCTGTAGTTTATTGCAAACCTCATTAACTTTAGAAGAAAGGGCCTGGTTTTATCATTTGAGCCACATTAGCTGTACCTTATTAAGGCCTGTACTTTTGGCTGCAATTGATATTTCATGGTCCAGACAATTTACAGCAGTTTTTGCCTGTAATGAGCCATTATCTGAGCTGTAAAAATCTGCTAACCAAGCATCCCCAGTCTGAAATTTTGCATTCCAGTTGTATACAGGTGACAGAGTCCCTGCTTATCTACATGGCTCCAATAGCTTATATATGTGCAAAGTACATATTCTGTTGCATTCATTAGTATTTCTGATAACATATGTCTGTATTCAGAGATGTAATTAGGAAAAAAAAAAAGAAAAGTAATCAAAAAATCCAATCTCTTCCAGTATAATAATTTTATTAAATATACCTGGTGTTGCTTTATGCCATTTAACAAATGGAACCAGATGAAATGAAAAGAAGTATTTCCTTGTGACATTATGAAAACTCCTCATTAATATTGAAATAATAATTATTCTATAGATAACATGACTTACTGAATTACAGCAGAGTGGCATTTTCTATACTGTGTTTAAGACTGCATCAGGTCTCTCCATGATACATTTCTATTTTGAGAAACTACAGATTATTCGATGAGGGACTGATTCCATGAATATTCTTGCCTGAATATTTCTTCCATCAAATTAGTTGTGTGTTTTGCCTGTG